GAAACAGGCCTGAGGACCAGTGGAAGAGATCAGAAGATGCTGAAACAACTTCAGACACACTCAGCCGCCTCATCCTTGACAAAGGAGCCAAACACCCTCACTGGAGGAAAGGTAGCCTCTTCAATAAATGGTGCTGGAAAAACTGGTTTTTAACTTGCCAAAGATTAAAACTAGACCTATGTCTCTCACCATGCACTCAACTAAAATCAAAATGGATTAAAGATCTAAATATTAAAACTGAAACACTAAATTGGCTGGAAAAGAGGTTAGGCAGGACTCTTGAAGGCATTGGTGTAGGAAAACATTTTGTGAACAAAACATCAGTTGCCCATGAACCTGTACAAAGAATCAACAAGTTGGATCTCTTATTATTAAAAAGCTTCTGCACAGCAAGAGAAACAACCAATAACGTGAAGAGACAACCCACAATGTAGGTAATACTTTTTACCAGCTCTTCCTCAGACAAAGGTCTACTATCTAGAATACATAAAGAACTTAAAAGAATCACACCTCCCAAATTTAAAGACCCAATCCAAAAATGGGCATCTGAAAGGAACAGATATTTCTCAGACAAAGAAGTAGAAACAGCAAATAAACATATGAAAAAATGTTCAGCATCACTGGTCATTCGAGAGATGTAAATGAAAACAACACTGAGATTCTACCTCACCCCAGAAAGAATGGCTGCTATCATGAAATCAACCAAGGACAATGCTGGTGGGGCTGTGGGGATTGAGGAACCCTGTTCCACTGCTGGTGGGAGGATAGCCTGGTGCAATCATTATGGAATTCAGTATGGATAGACCACAAAAAACTAAGACTAGAGGTCCCATTTGACCCAGCTATCCCTCTGCTGGTTATCTTTCCCAAAGAATTAAATGAATGATACCATAGTGATATATGTGCACCCATGTTCATAGCAGCACAATTCGTGATAGCTAAAATTTGGAAACAGCCCAACTGCCCATCAGCTGGAGACTGGATAAAGAAAATGTGGTTTTTCTATAAAATGGAATATTACTCAGCCATAAAATATGAGAACTAGAGACATCTGTAGCTAAATGGATGCACATTGAGGCCATACTCTTAAGTGAAATCAATAGGACACACCTGTGTAAATACCAAATAGTTTCTCTAATGTGAGAAACTGAAAGTGTAAATAAGGATGAAAAGGTACATTAGATAATGTGAAATAGGAAGAAAAGATACAAAGCAGAAGGGGAAATGGGAGGGGTAGGGGAAAAGAAGGATGGGAATGGAATTAATATGAGAAAAAGAAAAAGTGGAAAAAGTCTTTGTAGATAGGAGGGGTGGAGGGGTTAAAGGGAGGACAGGGAAACAGAAAAAATAAGAACCAAGATGGATTATGTAAAGGTGCAAATTTTCAATGATGAATGTCACTACATTGTATACTTTAAATGTACCAATAAAATTAATTTAAAAAAGAAGATATGAATAATGTTATACCTAACATTTTATAAACAGATAAAATGCAAAAACTTTAGAGAATGGAACTACTGAAACTCACCACAACAGACTCAGGAAATCTTAAACAGTCAGATGATCATTAAAGAATTGAATCAGCTGGGTGTGGGGGTGCACTCCTGTAATCTCAGTGCTCGGGAGTCTGAGGCAGGAGGATCACTGTGAGTTCGAGACCAGCCTGGGCTACATAGTGAGTTCTAGGTCAGTCTCAACTACATAGTGAGACCCTGTCTCAAAAAAACTAAAGAATCGAATCAGTTTAAAATTTTCACACAAAGAAAACATCAGCGCTTGTCAATGGATATGTTCTATCAAAGAAGACATAATTCAAATATTACTGATTCCAGAGAATAAAAAATGGAAATATCCTCTAAACTATGTTTTATAAAGCTAATATAACACTATAACCAACACCAGACAAAGATAACAAGAAAAAAATCTTAGGCCATGAAAATAAAAGTCTTAAAAATATTAGCAAACTAAATCAACGTTATATGAAAAAGTGAATAAATCATAATCAAGTTTGATTTCATTCCAGAGATCTAAGACTGGTCAAATATCAGAAAAATCAATTCATTTAATTAATTATATCAGTAGATTAAAGAAGAAACATCATACAATCATCTTCTTGAAGCAAAAAAATAGTTTGCCCTGAACTGGCATTCATTTCCAAATATTGACCTTAGAGAAACTCTTGTTTATGGCCCCATGAAACACATGCTAGAATGAAGATAGCAGCATTGAAGATAATGACATACCAAACCCAGAAAACATCCAAGGCAGACATTACCAGTAAAATGAATAAATACATTGTAGTGTATTCCTCCGCCCACACTGCCCAGAGTACTCACTCAGTATTAAAAATGAACTACATCAACTTAGAGCAAAAAAAGAAGAATCACACAAGAGTTCATACAGTGGGACTCTAATAAGGTAAAGTTCTAAAACAAGCACAACTAAACCACATATAACTTAGAAATACATATACTGAGATACACTTCACAGAGAGGCCAGGCAGTGTTAACACAGAAGTCAGGGCAGCATTTTCCTGAGGATGGGAGGAAGGAGAGATGGGAACAGGATCATAAGTGATTTCTACACACCTGGCAATATTCTATTTCCCAAGACAGGGTTGAGCACATGAGAGTTCATTTTATTATTGGTTTTTGAATGGTTATATATACATTTTATCTCTCAGTTGTATGCACTCCATACTTCACAGAAATAAAATTTTTTAAAAGTAGAGGTAAGTTGATACTGCCTAGTTGAGAGAAATGGGATGAAAACTGTCTTTGCCAGTAGCTGCTTTCCTGACTGACAGATCTCCCAGCAGGAACTAGAATTGGAAAGCAGCTCTCTTTCTGTCCATTTCCTGATACATTATTGATGAACTCCCAGTTACAGAAGGAAGAGGGCACAGAGCACATAGAAAGTACGATGTGGACTTTGTTTCTTATCTAACTTTGCCTAATCCAAGAATTGAATGGTAAGAGTTACATAACAAAGTGAAAGCAATTAATGCCCCACAAATGGCTGTACATTTAGAAATGGTTAAAATAGCAAATTTTATGTATGTTTTACCAAAATTAAAAGAGAGAAAGAGAGAAAGAGGGAGAGAAAGAAAGAAAGTAGGAAAGAGAAAGCAGGAGCAGACAGTAGGTATGAATGGTGCTCCAAGCAGATATCCCAATACTGTCTCAGTTTTAAATAAAATATCTATTAGGATGTTATCTGATACAATGAATACACCAAGTAAAATGGTCTACAGATAGTATCAAAAAGTCTGCGGACCGCATCAAAGGCAAGCTTCAATGCTTGATGCCTAATTAGAAGATGGGATAAAGACATTGGGTTTGAAAAGCTGTGGAAAGATCTTTGACCAAAAGAAGAGACTCTTGGTGTAAGCAGTGTCTTTACACTGAGGAGATTTTTGGACATAGATGCTTGTTAGCTGTTAAGATAGCTAGATGACTGAACACAGCTTGGTTGTGCCATATTTCAAAGGCAATCCATATCTGTTTACTGTAAGTTACTGTATTTATTATATGGCTATATTTTGATAAAAAAGTTGCATTATAGAAAAGTGCAATGTATACATCTAGCTTTTTACAAAAACCTGTTTTCTAAAGAAACAGGCTATTGTCCTGGGCTGTCAAAAAGAAAGGATGAGCCAGGGATTTAGTTCAGTGGTACCGTCGCCTGCCTCACAAGTACAAGGTCCAGAGTTCGAACCCTGGTACAAAAAAAGAAAAAAGAATGCCATCCATGGGAAACAGAAAGAATACTATAAGAGGAAACTTACAAGGCAAGATCTGACGAATGCTTGAGTTGGCCTGGCCAAAGCCAGACTTAAGAATGCAGCGTAGGCCTCCCTGACTCCTCGTTCTGTGTGCAGCTGACTCTATGCCTGAAGACAAACCCCAGAGGCAGGGCCACTGCCTGTGACAGTGGCTACATGAGCTGTGTGGAATATAGCTCCAGGGACTTCTACTTAGACAACCTATAGTTAGACGGGCTCCCTGGAGTTGGGCCACAAGAAGGTTCCACCACAGGTACACAACACTGAACAAACACTCCTCCTCCAGGGACATTATACCCACATGTAAGTAACACAGGTATTATTTTTATATTAAGGCAATGACAGTCATGCTTTGGCTCTATAAACTGAATTCAATTTAAACTCACATCAGCTGAACTATAAGAATTCTAAAAAGCCTCACGTGCTCAGTGAGTCACCTGCGGTTACTTGCCCAATCTCTGAGGACTAGCTTTTGCTGTTTGGGCTACATTGGTGAAATAAATATTTATTCTCTGACATTTAGGGGGCAACAAACTCTTACTAGAAATTAAAATTACTATCAATTATCTTGCTCTTGACTATAACTACAGTGAATCTAGGGATCCAGATTTTCCACTTTTTTACATATGATCAAAAAGGGTTGGAAAGGCTAAATGCTAAAATTACTATCCCTCTTTAGTAGCCACATTATGCCCATTGTAAAAACTGATTCTAGTTAGATCAATAACATTAACAGTTATAATTTTGTTGAGTTCTGCTATTACTCATCTGGCATTAAGCCAAGTCAATCTGCATAGAAAATTATTTGAATTCATCTTACCATCTGGAAAGAAAATTGTTGGTAAACAATACTAATCTTGAATTAAGAATTCTTTAAATACAAACCAGATAAACTGTCCAGAATGGAAAATTATGCAACTCATAAATAATTGTAGAAAAGCACAGAAACAGATATATACAAATAATGTACATATTGAAAACATTCTTGTAAAGAACGTACAAGTATATGCATGTGAAAGTACTGAGAGGACACGCAGCTAAATATCGAAGTGATTATCTGTGATTGGGAGGTTATTGTGCTTTTCTGTGTTTTCCAAAATTCTCTGCATTTAGTATCTATTACTTTAGTAATGACAAAAAAAACTGCAGTGAAACAAGTGAGAGTGAGTCAGGTATTACAAATATTGTTGGATAGAAAAAAAGTAAACAACTATACCTGTGAATAAAACATCTCCTCCATCTAAGGTTGCATTTTCATCTTTCATTTCTACTATATTGAGTTGAAGTTTTTCTAATGCTTCCTTCATCATGTCAACCTGTTAAAAGTAAAATGATTTATATTAATAGCATACAGTTTCCTAACAAACCACCTACAACTTCGGAACACTAAATCACACTCCCATGTACACACATGCACACACATATAACACATATACACTTGCACACACCTTTGTAATATGGGCAAGATCAGCCATGATCATTCACAAGAGAAGAGATTATCTGGGAGACATTGCCTGTTTTGTTTGCTTCTTGTCTAAGGTCGAGTCAGTATTATAGTTCGTTTTGTGTGGGGAGGCTAGCTAATTAAGGCTCTGTTAGAGTCTGACCAGTTACGATGCATAAATGATGGAAGGTAGGGGCACGTCACCCGGTTCTCCTGTCCTTGCCAGAAAGTGCAAGACTGAACTTTAAATCTAAATCATTCGGTTAGTCAGAAATACACAGACAAATAACGGAAGGAATGTCAATACTTGGCAACTTGGAATTTCAATCTATAGTATAATTATTGCTTTCTTTCTTTTTCTTTGTTTTGGTTTCTTTGAGACAGGGTCTCACTATGTAGTTCAGATGGGGCTTGAACTTACTATGTAGCCCAAGTTGGCCTCAAACTCACTGTGGTCCACCAGCCTCAGCCTCCCAAGGGCTGGGATTACAGGTATGCACCAACACACCTAGCTAGAGTCACTGTTCAATTCAAATATTTTCTAAAATGCCACAACATCCTAGTCTTTGTAAATCTAAACTGTTATTTAAGTTTATACTCAAACAGTTAACATGATTACTTGCCTTTTAAAAAATAGTTCCATAGAGATAATGAACAGATTATGGTTGAAACCAAACAAAGGAATACTGGAAAATGAAGTCCAGGGACTCTTATAATTCCAAGGTGTGTCCAAAGCAGAGATACTCTGCTTTATATTTGTATGACAGAGCAAATGCCCTTTGAGGCTGACAATCAAATTCAAGTTCTTCCAGCAGCTCAGCAAAACAATTTAAGTATTTCAGAAGGTCTGTTAAACCTCTAACATGATAAAGACATCCATTCAGAAGACATGAATAGGGTTATGAGAAAAACAAGAGATCACATCACACTAGGCAAAGCAGATAATCCTGCCAAAATATAGTACGCAGAGGACAGAGTGAACTGTCAATGAGGAGACATCAATAGAGCAGTCACTTCTAAAGTAATAAAAATGTGGAAAAGCTTTGACAACAAGGGCTGACAGTCATGCATTCAAAGCATTAAAGAGGACACAAAGTAAAATAAATAATCATCTCATCCTTGTCTTGGAACTCATATTAAAATTCCACAATCCAGAGTGACTCAGAACAATAAAAAATATTTCCATGGACAAATTGTCTTAACGTTGTAGTAAATGCACCCAGTGACTTCACAGTAGCATAGGTTTTCCTATGCGACAGGAAGAGGAATCATTGCTGTAGCACAAAAAGGGGGCAGAACAACATTTACCGTGACTGGTTGGGCTACTGTGAACCTAGGAAAACACACAACTGTGCCTCTGGTATCTGTTTTCTACGTCTGTGGAAAATTCATTGAGCTTACAGAGAGAGCACGAGCACTGTGCTTCCTTTTGTTTCTATTGCTAATGCTACCGCTTTTATACAACAACATTTTGAAGATTATTAGGAAGTCTGTAACATGGCTTTGGGGCTGAAAAGTTGTTTTTTTTTTTAACCAGGGATTGAACTTGGGACCTTGCGCTTGCAAGGCACGTGGTAGAATCACTGAGCTAAATTCCAAGCCCATGGGGCTGAAAAGTTATCTGAACTTTATTCAACTCTTAAGAATTACCAGAAGTAGGGAGGCTACTATAGATCAGTTTCAGAAGTGCTACACGTGTATTTTAAGGTCTTATGTCTTTCAAAATAAATTAAAGTTTTTGAGAATAAAATGTTTGTGACTTCTTAAAAGTGAAAACAGCTGCACTGACATTATGTGCAAGGGTAGCACTTTAAAAAATATTCAGTCACATCTTCATAAACAAAGTTGTCAGGATAGGTGCATACCACAAATATAGATGGTACTATATGACTTTCAGAGATAATGCATGGACAAGATTTTTAAAATTTTGAAACAATGAATAAATGGTTTCGAGAAGCACAGGACCATATGGCATCAAACTGGCAGAAAGCTCAGGGAAATTTCTGGAGAAGAAACAAGAGGGGCTGCACCCCACAGGCTGCCATTGAGAAATGCATTCTCCTGGACTGAGTTCAGCAAAGCGCGCTGACTTGGCTGCAAACAGGCCCAGCACTGGCCTGACACCCGGGGCCCAAAGCAAGCCAGCTATTCAGGCAGTTAGAACATTAAATATAACTACAGAAGTGGGAACTTTTGCAGGACAAAATCCAAACCATGAACCTTCAAGAAACTCCCCATTCTGTGGTTATATAGCCACGATTAATGTTGTCTTAAATAACTTTCAAGAGGAAAATATAACCAACAATACACCTACCTTTCAGTGACACTAACCCCGGAGAGTAGAACTTTGTGTTATTCAGAGAAACATAAGAACAAACACTATTCACTCCAAAAGTTGAGCTGAGTGGGTCATTTTAGCCCAAGAAATCAGAAATGAAAAGGATAAATTAGAGAAACCACCTTAATGAATGTAAACTTGAGTAAGAGTAATTTTCAGTTTCTATTCTAAAGATTTAGAAGACCCTTCCTCCTTCTCTTTTCATGCTTCAAGCAATGTGATTTCAGTTTTTTGCTCTATACTCGCATTTATTTTTGTCTCATCTTTTTTCCTCCTCCTTCTCACCCCAGATTCCTTCCTTGGCCGAAGTGGCTTCACACTAGCTCTTCATTCAACCCATCTCTCTTTCTCCTCGAGGGTGGTTACCGTCTCCAGTAATCACAGTATCTCTCCAAGTAATTATAGTATCTCCTCCCTTCTTCTTTCCCTTCTTCCTGGAGTATTAATGTTAAAAAATGTAGAGGTATTGGGGTTACACATTCACGGTCACTTTCTGGGGAAATCTAGAGCATCGTATTATTATTATTATTAAAGACCTGGGGTTCAATCCCAGTTCCGCCATTTACCAGCCAAGTGACTTTAAATTCTTTAAAATTCCAAGTCTCAATCTGCTCATGTTTAAAGTGGGTATTTATTCATAATACTACCAACTTATTAGGCTCTCACCACACAGAAATAGAAATATAAATGCTCAATAAACATTAGATACAACTTTTACTGTTTTGATGAAATACCAGCTTGTGTGCACAGAGTGACAGATACTTGTGCTATGAAAGAGACCCACCACTAAAAAGCTGTTGCTTTTTTCTTACATTTGGGTAAGTTTCTTATGTTTTATCACCCTATGACAGATTCCATCTGCTTTTCAGTAAACTAAAATTGCAGCCTTTTTTGCAAAGTCAAGTTAAGTTCGAACAGTACATGGAGGACATTTAAATATAAACCAAAAATGATTTCTTTCTGGCTCCTGGAAGCAGGAAGCAGGATGAGGTCTATTTCTTGTATTGTCTCTGCTTTGAGCTTGTCCCATGCAAGTACTCTATGAAGTGGAGGGGAGCCTATCTGGCTGATGTCCTACAGGACTCAGAAATCAGCCGAGATGATGCGGCCTGAGTGGGTTACAAGGGCCACTCTAAAGGTCCCAGTTTGTCTAAAGAATTCATTCCCTTGCTCGCTGTTCAGTCTCCTTTATCTTTCCCACTCTCCTCTTTCTTACCTTCCATGCCTCTCATTTCTGTTTCCTCATTTGTCCTATCAAATTCACACCATCATTCTGTCTTCTCACTTTGCTCCTCTTGGACCACGGTGAGTGGAAAGTAGCAAGGATTTGAACACTGACTCTACCACATATAAACATAAGCAATGTAAGCTGGAATGAACTGAACTCTAGTGTTTCCTAAGAGTAATTATGTCAGTAACAAATGAAGTAATGCATGTAAAAAATCTAACCCAGTGCCGGGCACATTGTCCTCAAAATCAGTAGTTGATGCCATAAATATTATTTTGCTCTAAAACAACTCAGTTCTTGTTTTGGATTCTGGCTACATTTGAAAAAGAAAGAAAAGATTAAAATTTATCACTTTCAGCTCTAAATAAAACATAACCGACTCTCCTTTTATTTCTTACAAAAATCTCCCTCAAAGTTAAAAACAAAACAAAAACCCGAAATCTTTCCTTAAAGCAAAACAAATCAAATATAAAAGTTCATAGTTTCAGTAGGAAGTTATATTCATGGTAGCTTGCCATAGTACTGTAATTAACTTAGCATTCTTTATTCAGCGACAATATTTTCCAATTGATCTTATCCAAAGTGGACTTCTGCTGTGTACTTTCAACAATGGCCATTTTGAATTTTCATGTCTTCACTCAAGATGCTGTGTGACGATGGGGCCTGATGAACAGTTGTGGTTTGTGTCCAAGCCACCATCCTTAAATTGCTTCTGGTCAACCAAACACCACATGTTATGCGTACTAATGAGCCCCTTGGGGTTAGTTCATTTCTGCCTGACCTGTCTTAGTCACCCACAGTCTTGCCATGCCCTGTAAGCTCTTCTATCACCACCTTCACCACCTGCTATAGCTGTGGTCTGGACTGTCTCCAAAGGCCTATGTGTTAAAGGCCTGGTCGCCAGCTTGTGGTGCTATTGTGAGATGTTGTGACCTTTAAGAGGTGGGGCCCAGTGGGAGTTAGTTCACTGGGGGAATCCTTGAGATGGATATGGGGACCCTGGCCACTTCCTCGTTTCAGCCATGGGGTAAGAATCCCGCTCTACCTCATGCTCCTGCCATGATGTGCTACTTTAACATAGGCTCAAAACAACAGGAAAATGGTCATGCACCAGAGCCTCTAAAACCATGGGCCAAAGAAACCTTTTCTAGTTTTTAAGTTGGTCATTTCAGGTCTCTATTGTAACAATGGCAGGTCTCTATTATAACAATACCCACTTGCATGTTTTTAACACCCACTTACATTTTCCAAGTCCCTCTATAAGTTCTCACATTATAAGAGCTTTTAAAACTACACTGTCATCCTA